ACCACCCGGAATCCGTCTCTGTCCATGTTAGACTCAACGATCATTGTACGATTCCTCGTATGAACAATTCCTCTAATTCCTGAATTGCACTTATTGCTGCATGTGTAAAACAAATGGTCTGCTCCACGCTGAACTCCACAACCATGTAAAGTCATGCCAGCTCTTGGCCGGCCTTCCTCCCGGCGGGGGGTGGGACCCGGGCAGAGCAGAACAGAACGAGGACCTTGCATCCAATGGAGGTTTCACCTCTGACCCCTGAGGGGTCAGAACCGCAAAGACCGCACTCAAAGTGCCACCCACCAGCGCTTTTAAGGAATCTACCCCTTTAAATCTAAACAGGTAAAAGGGATATTTTTCTCCTGACTTTTCAAAAACGGATTTTGTTGAGGAATCATTTGCAAACAATAAAATACTCGTGTTTTAAATTCATTCTCCTTTTATGAATTTATGTTCCCATGACACTATCACCACCGTCAAGTTAGACGCCACTGCCACCCCCCGAAAGGCTCCTTTGTCCCCACTCAGTTCCCTCCACTCACATCTTCAGGCAACAACTGAATTACTTTCCCTCAATCTGGATGGTCTTTGCCCTTTCCAGGGTCTCCTGTACATTGAATCATATCATTTAGTTTAGATCCTTTCCTTAGTGTAATGTTTTTGAAACCCAATCGTCTTGTGTAGCAACAGTCATTTTTTATATCGCTCAGTGATGTCCACTGTGAGAATATACCACAATGTGTTCATCCATTCACCGCCGATGGACATTCGGGTCGTGTTCCAGTTACTGTCTGGTAAAGCCTAGATCATCGACATTTGTGTACCAGTTACGTTGTGGGAATGTTTCATTTCCCTTGGGTAAATACCCACAGATCTCATTCTAAGTGTGTATTTAAGTTCATGAGCCTCTGCTAACATGTTTTGCAAAGTGGTTGTACCATTGTACCCCCCCGCTGTAGTATTGGGGTGCTTCCCTCCCACCAGGCCCTGTCTAACACTTGGATTCACCAGCCTTTTTCATTTTCGTCCTGTGGTGGCTGTCCCTCTTGACTCTTAACAAAGGTGGTGCTTTTCTAACACAGCTGGGTTTCCATCGTACGGACGTTATCATGATGGGAGGTGGTGGTTGTTGTATTAAGTTGTGGGTCACGATTCACAACAGGTCGGGACCAAGCCTCTCCTGGGATAAGGCACATAGTCACGACGGCATCACTCTCATCCGCAAGGGGCCCAACCCGGGGTGTTGGAGAGGAGGACTCTCAGGCCTTACAACACTTTTGGCTCCCGAACCCAACAAACTCTTATTCCATAGGATTCATTTTCATGGGGATTTATTGGCTATCGCAGGAGCAGCCCTGGCGTTGAAAGATATGCGAAGTGTTTGCAAGATAAGGGCTATAAACTCCTGGTGGATAGAGGGCTGTCCGGGAGGACTTGCCCTTGGCCGGCTGCTTGGCCGGTGGGCCGCCTGCCTTCCGTTAGTGCTTATGCTTGGTCCCCAGAGCTTCCGTGGGTGACTTGGGTTTGAGATTAAATACAAATAGTTTCTTATAGTCTTAAATTCTACAAAGTTATTCAAACCATGTGTGTGTCAAACGCTGAGAAGAAATGCTTCACTATCTCAAAGAATATCTAGTCGTTTAAACGTTGCTTTCCTCATGTGAAGCAAAAGTTTTTAACAGTTCAGTTCTCTGAAAAATGTTAAAGAAATTATTTTAAAATGATTTTACTTTTGCTGGAAAATGATTATTTTGAATGGGTTTTTTAAATATTAGATCTGTATTGTTCTATATTTATATAGACGGCTATTTTCCATATTTCCAATGATATAAGTAAATAAATTACCTTCAATGTTTCTCAACGAATGTTCATGATATTATGTTCAATGTTAACAGATCTTACTGTTTTTAATCCTCACCCAAGGATATTTTTCCATTGATTTTCAGAGAGAGTGGAAGGGAGGAGGAGAGAGAGACAGAAAGAGAGAGAGAGAGAGACATCAATGGTTGCCTCCCGCACAACCCCAACCGAGGCCGGGGATCGAATCCAGCCGAGGTACGTGCCCTTCGCTGGAATCGAACCCAGGGCTCTTTGGTCCGCAGGCCGACGCTCTCACTGCGGAGCCATAAAATTTTATTCTGTCATTTTAATCCCACATCGAATAAAAAGTAAACTTTCTACTTTTTTTTGTGTAAAGCCCAGATATACGTACGGTACATAAAGAGATATAAATACGCCTGTGGCATTAAACATTCGTGGGGGAGGGGGGTAGAAAAACAGCTCTGAAAACCCTTAGGGTTGCGGTAATGACAAAAGGCTGAGCAGCACCACAATAAAGAAAAGTATTTTAAACTAATACTTTGTTTTACTTTTATAGTTGTTTGTGTTATCACTGCATGTAAAGTTATATAGTTAGCTACTTTCCAAATGTGTATATATCCATTACATTGCACACACAGTTCTGTGTGCCCTGGCTTGAAATGTAAAATACATTTCTTCCAGTAGCCAGTGGTGGAAAAACCACACAGAAAAACAGAGAGCGAGAAATGAATCAGATGGGAATCTTAACGCCAGCAGTGCCTCTGTCCTCGAAGGGGTCTCTCAGACACCAGCTGAGCCCGACACATGCCTCCAGCAGTCCATTCAATTCTTTTCCTTCCTGACTCTCGGGCAGACGCAGACTGAGGTCAGGGAGGTGGAAGACCCAGGGTTCGAAGCGGGGGGTGGGCCTGGACGAAAGCTCAGATCTGGCTCACGCCAGGGCCCAGGCTCTTGTTACTCTCTCCGTCCCTTCTTGCCTCAAACAGTGTGTGGCTTAGTGGGTGAGAAATGATGAACACGGGCGCGAAATATGGAAATGTGGTGGACTGCATGCAGGTAAGTAGGTTGTTTTATTTAACAAACACTGGTTGATCAGTGGAGTATACTATTTAGCTCCCAAATTGGCTTCGTCTATAAAATAAGGCTAATGCCACTACCGACATGGTAGACGGCTTCCGCGAGGTTAGCGGAGACACTGAACTTGAAGGGCTGCACGCGCAGGAGCGGCTCAGTCACTTTTCAGTGTCCTCGCTGGAGGCTTGGCGGGTGTAACCCCCCCTGCACTCCTCCCCCAGCCCAGCTCCATGGGCCGCGCTCACAGACCCTGGAAACCCACCCGAAGACGAGCCCACTCAGTCTGCGCCACGGGTGTTTAAGAAGCAGAGGCGGCCAGGTCTTTGGCAAGACGAATGCGGAGAAAGACCTGCACCTGCACTCTGAGAAGGGGATCGGGCTGCGGACAGGCAGGAAAGGAAGGACCAGGGCCAGAACGGAACCGGATCCGGAGCAGGAAATGAGCTCGGCTCGGGGAATTAGATTTCGCGAATCGCAGTCCCGGCGAACAATGGGAAACCAGAGAAGAGAAGGTGCCAGACAGGGAGGCGGGAAAGCTGTGCTGGGCGCTTTGAGGAGCTGCAGTCACCGCCAGCTCCCGGTCAGAGGGAGGGGCAGATGCCTTTTAAGCTTCCTCGTGCCATGCGGGGGAGCTGGGGAACATCTGATGCGAGGGAACCAGTGCGGAGACCGCTGTGTCAATCAGAAATGCGTGCGGACAGAGTGGGTGGGGTGGCAGTGATGGAAATACGTGCAGGTTGGAGCAGATAGCCCCCCCCCCAATAATCACTAGTGCTTGGGTGAGATACAAGGAAAAGAAGTGATTCATGACCCCTGTGTGAGTTCAAGGTCTCAAAGAGCATGAGAGAACATGGTGAGGAAGTTAATAAATCTTTGACTTTGCACCTAGTAGAGCTAACTCACTGTAAACCCAGCAATATAAGACGGACTAGATGAACTGTCGAAGTCAGTAACACGACCACCTGGGTGTGGTTCTCGAACCATCAGCACAGATAATGACTGAGGCACGTGGGGTGGACGAGTTGCTGAGGGAGGCGGTGGATGACATCACATAAACAACAGCTCCGGGGGTGCTGATCTGCTGGCACGGGTGTGGATTTACTCACAGATGCCTGTGAGATCTTCGTTCTCTCGGGTCGAGGAGGACAGATCTCTGTCACTCCACCTAGGCACTCCTGAGTTTTCCCGAAAGTCCCTGGAAAGATAAGGCCTCCTCGCTGCCTCACTCAGTAAAGGTGCACAAAGAGCTTTAATGGGGACCCCTGCCATTAGTGTATCACATTTATTACCAAGTCCCCTAAAATGCAAGTTCCGGAGAACAGCTGTCACACGCACATTCGCCCGTGGCTGTGTGTGTACTGTCGCAAACGTCAGACTTGCGTAGATTTATCCCCATGCACTTCCCAGATGCACTTAGCACCCTAAAGGATGAAGGGCTGCACCCTTGTCTGGGGGCAGAAAGTAGGCCCTGCTAGACCCCAGAGGGCGATGGGAATGGTTCCTGCACATTGCTGGTGGGGTCAGCACCTGACACTCCATCCAGGTCCTTCCCTCGGATCAAACGAAGCCTATGCTGCCCTGGACCAAACCAAAAACGTGGATGGGAAGGAAATCTGCAACACACGCTACTTTGGATGCTGCTTGGAAGTAACAGTAGGAGAACATTCTTTCAACAAATTAATCAATATCCAGTTCTTGCTGAAATAAAAACAGGAATAGATATATGGAGAAGAAACCACTGAGATCGAGGAGAAGCAACTGGAATGCCAACAGATGTAAAGTTCAGCTCGAACATCGTCTATGAGTCGGCACTCTTGATTTCATGAGCGTTGTATCTAAATTACGGACAGTGTGGACATCAGAGAGATGTGTGCGAGTCCTTGGAAAGACTTCTTTTATTTTGTGAGCTACTGTGGCTGCAAAGCGGGCTTCCCTGGCTGTTTCAGTTTAGCTTTGTTTTCCCCCTGCACCATTAAATGCGTCTTCTTTTGTGGCGGAGGCAAAGCATATTACAACAGATCGCACAAACTTCTTTCGCTCTGCTGTGTGGACTTGAGCGCGGCGTTACGTTAGGAGAGGAGGCAGAGAAAGGAAACGTTCATACTCACTGCGGCAGGCTTGCTGGCAGGGAGCGCCTGATGATCGAGTGCACCTGTCTGTACACGTCCAGCTTAGACATACACCGGCAGGCAGTGTGATTGGCAAAACTGACCGTGACGGGTTTGGGGCCTTGAGAGAGAGGCACTGTGATTTCAAACAGCTACAGAGAGGGACAAAAAGAGAAAACATTATATAGGCGCGGCACACTGTTCGGTGGCCAATGTCGGAGGCCCAGAGTGAGACGGACTTCTCATGATGGGGGAATGCTGCAGGATACAGCGTGCCCCCCAAATGTATACACAACTCTGAGTAATTACAAAGCCAGTGTTTATTAAAATACTTTTCATGTTCAAAACGTAACAGAATCTAGAGACACCCTGCATGCATTTTGGGGGGACGCCCTGTACACACAGGACATTACGTTTCATGTTTGCAATGCAAAACTGTTCCTTTATCAGATTATCGATAGTCCCTATGCGTATCTCATGTCACCGTCACAAAGCATATTAGAATTTTGATAACCAACTAGTGATTATAGAGCAGAGGTATAACAGACCAACGTGTTCAAGAAGAATTGTTCCGGAGACCCAGAGTATCCCAGGGGTTAATAAGTGGCACGGGGTCCATTTCTTCCTGATGGGAGAGCAAAGCTACTGGCCACTTAGAAATGTTGGGTTAAGTTTTGTATACAAACCGAATACACAGACATAAAACACATAGAGGGAAAATTGGTTTCCAATCCAAATTAAATTTCTACCTCAGGGCAGTGGTACATGTATCTGAGATCTCTTATAAATGTATCATGTTTAAAAAAATAAATAAAACACATTCATTATTTAATAGCTAAAGCTTTGTTTCTGCTGTTTGGACAAGGGAATCAGGAAAATAATGAGCTTAAAGGGAGGTGGCACATCTTCCGTGGCTGTGGGTTAGTCTCAAGATTCAGCCGAGCTGTCACCTCATTCTGCATGCCCTGTTTGTGGACAGCCTTGGTTCTCTCTCTTGCAAAAACACTTGGACCCATGTCGCTTGAAAATTCAAATGTAAACATAAATGCGTCATTAAGTAAAACCAAGAGGATTTGAATTCCTAAGGCTCTCAAAACCTGAATGATCGTCAGTAACAAGAGGGACATGGAGTCCTGGCCACTGCCTGCTTGGTAAGGTGAGCCCCTAGGGACAGAACACAGTGGGACCACTGCCTGCTTGGTAAGGTCAGCTCCTAGGGACAGAACACAGTGGGACCAGAGCCTGCTTGGTAAGGTGAGCCCCTAGGGACAGAACACAGTGGGACCACTGCCTGCTTGGTAAGGTCAGCTCCTAGGGACAGAACACAGTGGGACCACTGCCTGCTTGGTAAGGTGAGCCCCTAGGGACAGAACACAGTGGGACCACTGCCTGCTTGGTAAGGTCAGCTCCTAGGGACAGAACACAGTGGGACCAGTGGGGGCTGGTGCTCTACTGCACCCGAAGGCATCAGATGAGGACACCCTGAGCTGCGTGATTGGGCGCCGGGCTGTAACTTCCTACGAACAGCCGGAGCCCACTGAGAACGTTTAGGGAACCGAACTGGTTGCCATTTGCCCACACTACAGAGAGATTTATCTAAGTGAGTTTTGAGGAATGAAATGCAGAAAGATCTAAATTATAAAATGCATATTGTCTTCATTTGAAATGCATTCACTTCAAATTTCTGTGACTTTCTTAAATGCCTTCGGAGGAGTGACCCCCAAGATCACACCCAGACAGGACACTTTATTAGCAACCCCACTTCTAAGCTGTGTGAACTTAGAGAAGTCATTTAACTTCTCGGAGCTGTTTCTTTCTTTAAAAACCAGGAAAAAGATAATATTTCATGAGACTGTTATGAAAATCATATAAGCTAGTACATATGAATGTGATATGTAGATTGATTGCTATATAGTTGTGGGTTTTTAAAAATTATTTGCATATATTCTCAGGATTCTAGATATTCTCCAGAATACTGTCCATTCTATATAGATAGTTTCAACATATGCCTTCAACATAGCCCAGCTTTATGGTTTTGACCAGTTCCTTCTCTAAAACACATTTGTTGACGCAGTTTTATTAGGTGACGTGTCACCTTGTCAGAGACCCTTTGTACTACATATAACTATTTCAAGAAATAATTCTTCAGTCCCTATAAATGCTACAGTTTCTTTAGTTCTTACGACATTTGTGGACCTTACATTAACAGCCATAGTTACAAAGCAAATATAAAGTGGCTTAGAACATAAGCAATTTTAGTATGTTGCATATTTAATTTTTATAAATCACTTATTGAAGCTCTACAAGAGTAGAAACAGTAGAGAGGTGTACAGGTCAGCTCACAGAAACCTAGATTTTATGGCCAGTAGGCAGGTAGGTGTCTGTGCTTTGAGCTGAGCAGAGCCATTTGAAAGTCATCCATATAAACGTTGGAGCTGAAGTCTCGGCATTGATAAGATGACCTGGCGAGATCATAAAATCTCTAATAATAGGAGCCTGGGAGAGGGAAAATTCAAGGGGTGAAAAGGGCGGAGGAACCGTTAACTACGTCTGGGAGGCGTGTGACATGTGGAAAAGCAGGCGCAGGTGCTGGTAAGCGGAGGGAAGGGGCCGGGTCCAGGGAAATCAAGTGGGGGGACTGAGTGGAGACAACAGCCTGGAAGTGGCCCTGAGGGCTGTGGCCGGGCGGGGCGGGGCGGACAGGAGCCGAGAGGGGGATGGGAGACCAGCGAGACCCCACATGACCGGAGGGACAAGGCTCAGGTGGATCTGGCCACAAAAACACTTCTGGTTACAGAACACGTGGAATCCTTGCAGGGTCTGTCCTTGCCTCAAGTGACGCAAGGCAGAACCGAGACAGAGTGACAGGTAAGGCAGTGGTTGGCATGAGGGCTACTGTGGAAGAGCTAAGGATGTTTCCCACCCCTAGACCTCAGGGCGAGCTCCTGCTCCGGTGATGGGGGCCACACCCCTCCCTCATGCTTCCTAAAGAAGGATCTCCGCCAGCATTATCGGGGATCAGGGGACTTCGGCCACTCCTGGGTGGATAATGTCCCCATCAGCACCCGCTCGTAGTACCAAGAGTGTATTCGGGGCTGGGCTGGGAAGAATGCTCTCGTGAGACCAAGCTCAGCTGAACACGCGCTAAGAAAGCATCTTCCCGGAGAAATGAGCCCGGCGCTGCACTGTCCCAGAGTAGAAGAGATTTGTGTTGGCACATGCACTGTTAAAAGGATGAAGGGACAGGTAAAGAGGCCTTAAAAAATCATTGTGTAGAGAAGTGCTTTTTTTCCTGACCTGAAGAAATCACATGCCTCACAACTCCAGCCCCGCTCGGGAGCAAGTGTGTTTATAGTGCAGCTAATGAAGTAACAGAAACACGCTTCATACTGATGACCCCTCTTGCTGGGGTCCAAGCAGGCAACTGGCCGGCTGAACTCAGGTACTTTAATCAAAAGGAAGAAATGGGTCACACAGTGGAGGCAAGAAAAGTATTTTCTCGAAACATTTCTTCGACCTTCACATTTTGAACTCAGCTCTTGGGGTGGTTTCCTTAATTCTCTGCTTGAGGGTCCCAGTGCGGGAAACACGGAAGGGTGGGGGAGAGGTGTCTCTGACCAATGTTAAAAGCGGACAAACCTTACTAGCTGAGTTTTCGTCACCTGTCAGTTTCAGGACTGGGACAGCCGAGGGGTGGGGCACCTCGGTAAGGGCTGCCTCCGGTACAGCGGGGCCCCCACCTTCCAGTCTCCTTCTGCACTCGTCTGTGTGCATCTACTGAATGCTATCTTCTCATCGCAAGTGACTAAGTAATATTCCTACCACCTTTTTAACAAGTACAGCCAATTCTGTGTTCTCTACAGAACACGTTGTGAATTTTGTGTAGCTGTACCTAATCCCTGTGTCACTAAGACAGTCCATGTGCCTTTTTCCCTAATCAGATAACATGTGCTTAAAAATGTAAACTCTTTTGAACTAAAAGAATTAATACTTAGAATCACATTATAAACTCACATGTGCCCCTCCCAAAATAAACCAATAGACCAGCGGTTCTCAACCTATGGGTCACGACCCCTTTGGGGGCCTAGCGACCCTTTCACAGGGGTCGCCTAAGACCATCGAGAAACACATATTTCCGATGGCGATTCATAACAGTAGCAAAATTACAGTTATAAAGCAGCAACAAAAATGACTTTATGGTTTTGGGGGTCCCCACAACACGAGGACGGTTGAGAACTGCTGCAACAGACTTTTAAACCACCTGGCACCTTCCCTTCCGCACTAGAGATGGACGAGCAACTAAGAGCATCATTTCAAAAGCAGACGTTCATTGAGCCCTCGTTTGCAGTTCACTTTTCAAGTCATCCAGCTTCCCTTAGCCTCCGTTTCATTATAAAATGGGAATAATAATGGCGGTGATCTCATAGTAGGGCTGTTTGGATTCCTCTCATCCTGACTGAGTTGAATCTTACAAAATTAACTGATGAATAAACTAGAACCAGAGGCATGAAAACATGGAACAGACTGACGGGTCTCCGAGAAGAGAGGGGGTGGGGTGGGAAGAGGTTAACCAAAAACTGTCCATGGACACAGACAATAGGGTGCTGAAGGCCTGGGGCGGGGTGGGAACCGGGAGGAGGCGGGGAAGGGGGGAAAAGAAGGAGGAACATTTGTAATACTTTTAACAATAAAACATATAATAAACAAAAAAATATATAAATACATAAATAAATTACATGAATTGCTTTCAACCCATCTTAGATGATGTGGTAGTGGATAATGGTGAAAATATTCTTGTATCACAGTGTGTTATATGTTGTATATGTTATATGAATAGATCATGTTATATGAATGTCACATATATGTCAGTGAGTGTTTACTGTATTTCCATGTGTCTATTGTTTACTAGGTCATTTATTTGACTGTGATCTCCATGACTCTGGGGACCATCCTGATTCTGTTAGTACCTACCACTTCCCCTCAGCTTGGCCCAATACTTGGCAGATAATGGAAACCAAAGAAAATATTAGATAAATAAAAGAATAAATGTCTGTTTAAAATCCTCCGTTGCTTAGTTTTCACTGTTTATTGAGAACCTGGAAGATCCCAGTGCAGGTGTCTTGCTAGACTATGAGCTGTCAGTCATCGGTCA